ACATACAATCATTTCAATCAATTTTTTTAAAGAAATATAATATGATCCAAGTTGGTTCAATTCCATTGAAAAAAACTTAAAATAAGTCCCTTTTGCTTCCGGATATTCCACATATTTAATAAATGCATTATTTATGCGTAACGTAAATTTGTGATAAAAAATTAAAAATTTTATCTCTGTTGACCTAAATTTTTTGTCTCCAAATTTCGAAAACGTATTTAAAAGACCAAAAATTGCTGACAAAATTCAAGTGTTCCAATATGGTACCCAATAGGTACTTTAATTATACGGTATGGAATTATTTCGTTTCTTTAACCAACTGTGTCACGCCATATACTGTGCAGACTATTTTTTCCAAAGAGCCATTTTTAAAAGAATTTATCCAGATTAGGTCAGGCGTACGTAGTATATCGATTGCTTCTCTTGCTAACCTTGAGTTTCGCCAAATCGTATCAGCGAAGGCCTCTAAGGTGGGTAATTTCTAATATTTCCGAAATAACTATTGAAAATTAAACAATTAACCGTGAATCGCTCATTCACAACGTAAATTAGTTTTTGATATTGTGACACAGATATTGATCAACACGGTATTGTTTGAAGTATTGCCACAGAGTTGCCACATGAAATTGAATTCTTTTACAAGTGGACTTTTATATTCCACCACAGGCGACAGACCATTTGATATAATGCATTTACTAAAAGAAAGTTTAAATAGTTTGTAAACTATTAACTTTTTCAACCAAGGTATATAAAATTTCTAACGTGCGTTTTAAATTTTTATACGAAGTATTTTCTTTTATATAATATATGAAGTAAATTGGTTCTAAAATATTTTGAAATATGATTAATTCTGCTTAGAATAAATTATTTTTTAGTTAAACTAATTTTTAACTTCTCAACATTCATTGGCATCTTAGAAACTACAAAGTATTCATTTTTTTAAGTATACGTAATCATTATTTAATGGTTTGGGATCAGAATCTATTAACTGAATGAATGCACTTTACTCATCTGCCCACTAGATACAACTTTCCACGAAATTAATAATTTAAAAAAATGGATCAATATCACGTTTCAGGTTTTTCCATCATAACTAAAATAATTCCAAGACCTTTATAAAAATTCCAACTGATTAAATACGCTACATGAACACTTGGCAGCATCTTAAACTGATTAGTTAATTAATCAATTAGACAAAGGAGTTATTCAAAGCTTTACCACATTTTATTAATTTAGTTGGTGTAGGAGTTGTGAATTTACCGAGAATACATCTTGATTCATCAAAATATGTGTGCGCTGACTTCCAATACACTCGGAGTCAGCAATTACCGTTATACTTGCACTCTTTGACTAACTGATGACTACTTTCCAACTCACAACAACATAAACTACAGTATCGGTGATTCATCCGCCAAATAATTAATAACAAATAAGTAAATAATTTGTTACTTGGCGATAAAAGTCGAGAAATACGACACATTCGTGATAAATTTTGTATATGTCACAATTACTTCCTCTACTTATCTATATTTGATACTATCGACATATTTTAGATACCGGGTGTCCCGAAATTAGTGCAACAAAATTTGGTCATAGATTGTTAAGACATATTTAGGGGACCAGAATTTTTTATTTTTGCCAAGTGGTCCCCTCTTTCGGAGTTACAGCCCCCTGAAATCCGCCCTCAATAATAGTCTTTTTTATATCTCAGAGCCCTGTTGTAAGAAAATCACTAAATTTAGTACACAGGGGTTTTATGGCATGTGGAATCTAATAGTCCTACGGAATCCCCTTAACGACACTTTTTGGTGGTCCCCCTTGTCTTTGGAGCCAAAAAAATTTACTCGCATATTTAAATTTCTTAAAAATTATTTTTAGTCCGCTAGAAAGCTATTGAATTCTTTGTCTCTGGATACTTTTTTCGTAAAACAATGTTTTCGAGAAAAATGGCGAAATGTGATCGAATGCATATCGTGATTCGCTATTTTTTTCTCGAAAACATTGCGATTTACGAAAAAATATCAAGAAACAAAAAGTTTCTAAATTCAATAGTTTTTTGGCGAATTTTTAAGAAATTCAAATATGTATGTGACCGAAGTTCTTTTAGCTCCAAAGACAAGGGGATCCACGAAAAAGTGTCTTCAGAGGATTCCCCGCCAAAAAGCGTAGCACTATCAGATTCCACGTGTCAAAAAACCCCTGTGTACCAAATTTAGTGATTCTCGCATAACAGAGTTCTGAGATATTAAAAAAACTATTCTTAGAGAGGACCATTTGACAAAAATAAAAAATACAAGTGCCCTAAATTTGTCTTAAAAATATGTGACCAAATTTTGTTGCATTAATTTCAAGACCGGTATAATAAATTTTTTGAGAAAAACATTTTACTTTGTTGTTAATTTTGTAAGCATAAAAGGACATAAAAAGTTTTTAATGTATGGATAAATATATGGCAGTAAAAACATTTAAAACAATAAAAAAAAAAATAGTCCACGTAGCGATATCAAATCTCATTTAATATTTTTATATACAGAATCCTACTGTAAAACTTACTTTCAGTCATTCTACATTTAATTTCGATTTTAAATTGTTAACAAACAGAACTGTATTTTAAAGAAATATATTTTTATTTATAGGCTAAGTCTTCGTCTTCCTGTATCACGAAAATAGAACCATTTCCCTATTCATAACTAGGGTAAATGTTTGGAAAAAGTGTTTTTCTGTTTTTCTTCATATTCTTTATTACTCACTTCCTTATTACTCACTTTCTAAATATACAGAGGGTTAGTTAAACCGTTTAACTAAATTAAAATGCAAATGTCTCATAATTATGTATTTTATTTAAAAAATACACTTTATGTGCATACAATTATTATTTATAAATATTTACCAGTGACTGCAAAATATTAAAAATTAATATACATTGAACGTTAAAAAAAACAAATGAGTCAAATTTTTATATAGCCTTCAGTGAATGTTTAAGATACGGTTCTTATATTTTCCGTTTTAAAAGGCAATCATAAAGGTAACAATGTATCTAATTAAGTTTATTTTATTTTTGTCGGAATTGCGACCAGAATTAATATTTAAAACGAAACCTTAAAATTATATGACAACAAAGATATAATGGCATCTATTTATATTCAAATTGTTACTATTTTGTTTACTCTACGAACTTAAGCTGCCGGATCTAGACATCCTCGATTAGTGATGCGTTTAATGAACGAAATTTTTACTGGTTTAATGACTGATTGAACATTGAAACGCTGTTTAATAACCATGAAGAAGAAAAAAGAAAACATTTCCATTCCATCCGATGTTATAACCGAAAACAAATTGTTTTATATATCTATAGGAAACAATGGATGGCTTCCATATATTTTAAATATTTAACAGTAATAATGTCAAAAACTGAAGCAATATATCGTTAGCGCGTTTCAGTTGAAAGTAATTGGTGCCATTTCTTTTCCCGGTAATTAAATTAAGACAGTTAAAACCAAATTACATGTCTCAACACCCAAAAAGTGCTGCTACAACCGCAGTTACGATACGATTTTTCATGCTGACAAAAGTATACAAAATCAGATGTAAGAGGATGTGGTAATCTGTCTGCTACAGATGTGTAATACTCTTTGGAAACGAACCACTCGAAACTATCACCAATTAATTGCCAAACTATTCCAAGAACCAGTAATTTCTTATTATGAATAAGTCCATATCGTGAGTCACCCAACAAAATCGATTATCCCACCGGACAATCCTTGAAAACAAACTAAATAAACTCGTTTAAAAAATAATGTGATTCATATTTGTTTGATGTAACTCATTATCTCCGTACAGATAAAATTACTACCAAGCACGCGTACACAAAACGTCAATTTTCGTCCCAATTCCGTTATCTCCGCGCATCAAGGCTACGCTTTTTCGAATATCGGGAATCTGCTTCATTGTTCCAAAACACAATAGCTGAATGGAAACAAGTTTTCGGAACCCTGTGGGTGAACCGGTAAAGGTATATTTAAACAAACGATATCATAGGAGCCGATGCGCTAAGTGGCTATTTACTAATAATGCTATATTTAAGATGGACGTTGACCTCGTAGTGGTCATTATACGATATTTGGTGCTAAAATTAGAGAAAGAAACTGAAGAATAACCACTCGAGGTGACAAAGACAACAGTTCGATGGAAATTGATCGGCGTAACCTTGGAAATCGATTGGGAAAAACTGAGACAAAAGGTGTTACGAAGAACAATTGTCAAATTCTTGCAAATCTATGAGCTGATCAAAACTGTGTTTGATTTAAATTATTAAACATAAGATTAGCAGATACTGACAAAAATTTTTGTCATGAATATCCCTCTAGGGTTACATCTTCCCGTGAGTCATACAAATAATGCAAAAAACAATTTTGATTTGCCACCTTCTTATCACATTGTCTAAAGCTACGTTCTTATCAGATTGATAAGAGCCAGATTTGACTTGACACTTGCTCTATTTGTGAATATGATACAGAAATGAAAACAAAGTAACAGGTTGCTATTTAAGTCGATTATTTGAACAGGAATATATAAATTAGCATGGGTATGCAGCATGTACTGAAATTTTTAGGAAACCTACTTCTTAATTACGATTTTATCATTTTTTTCATCTAATAATTCAGAATACCTGCATATTTCTGATATTTTAAACACATGGTGCGATTTACTATGTTGGAAGTGGGACAATTTGAATTTTTTGTTAATGGCACCATAAATTTTGGAAAATAAAATTATGTAGCAATAAATTTATACAATCTTGTTTCTTTTTCAATAATCGCCACTTGTTGAAGACAAAATTCTTTGAATTTAATTTCTCTAGCATTGTGCATTGAAGTTTAACCCGTATCGCAATTATCGTTTATTTGCCAAACAAGTTCGCGTTATCTGGCATTTAATAATTTTAATATTTTCGAGGATCAGCTGACATTTGGGTGTTAGATTTGAAACGAGGTACTTACCAGGGCACTGCTATCACTGGGCGCTGAATTCGCGCATCTCAAAAGGCACAGAAGTATCGAAAAAACGGAAACTGTAACTGGGTGCATCGTGTCGCGATCGTTCTCTCGCTAGAACTGACTGTTTAGGGACGAGATGATATCTTATCAGGGCACGTGCTATCGTCTACCTGTCTGCCCAGATAACAAGCGCAACCGTGGACTATTTGAGCCGTTCTCTTCTCGCACATCCGAAATAAATCGCAGTCCTCAGACCAAACTGGATCAATCATGTACTGACTTTCAGAGATTTACTGAAACGATTGGTCTGGTCTAGTGTGCGAGGGACACCGCGGCAGCACAAAACCAAGCGTGCGAGATCACTGAAACTTTGCCGGCGAGCGCGGTGTGTTTATATTGCGCGGCGTGGACGTAACCTACCGCAAGGTTTTCAGCGATCTACGGGGGTCAAATCGCGCTTTATCGCGGTTTGCATGTTTCTTCTTCCCCCGGTATTGTTCGATAGTGTTTTATCGGGAAAAAAGCGGCACGCCGGCAGTTCAGAATACGCAATGGCTTGATTTGGTTTTTACGGTTTTTATTCGATAACAATGGACGTCGCTGACATAGTTCCATGTGACGTTTTACTTTTTGTGAAAATCAGAAGCTCGGGTGGTATCTGAGAAATCGAATTGGGGAAACAAAGCTTCCATTTTAAAAATCGTACTGTTATCAAAGTCGGCTACGCTTTGCTTCGCCTCCAATTTTCCTCGCTTCAAAAACTTGAGTGTAGTTAGCCCCCAAAGTTAACCCCCAAAACTAAATTAATAAAAATAAATATCTAACAATTCTATGATCATCTATGATTGTACTACAACCAAATTTCACCCACAAATTTACTTGTCCGGTCCGGGGGTGGAAATGGCGCGACTTATAAAGTCAGCCCCCTATTCTTGCTATAACTGTCCTGGGACCCGGACAAGACGAAATGACCTAAGGAATAGTTGAAAGAGGTGTACTGTAACGCATTTCCACCATCAAAATGACTTGTCCGGTCCGGGGGTGGAAATGGCGCGACTTACAAAGTTAGCCCCCTATTTTTGCTATAACTGTTCTCGGACCCGGACAAAACGAAATGATCTAAGGAATAGTTGAAGGAGGTGTACTGTAAC